TTGAATCAATTGGTTAATTGATTAAACAAATGTCTATCATGTAGCACGACATCATCATTCATATACATTGGAATAGAGACAAAATTATTTTCCTCTTTTTCAGTAAAGTCTTCGACAATATCTTGAATAACAGGTTTGTCAACTGTCATGGATAAGCTACTAACTCCAAATTTGTTCATCTATTTAACAAAAACTATAAGTAGTTAAAAATAAGATTAACAGATATTTAATTAAACCAAATGAAGATAAAATATTTACCTTCTACAATTGAATTTCTATAATCAAATTATGATATCTTCAAACTACAAACGACAAAGATAAAAATTCAACAATGTAATGTTATCATTCATCCAAGACTATTGAAGTAGTTATATGTACTCGTGTTATTCACCTTCATACTTATGTAATAATGTTATTTACCTTGTCATCTCAAATTTGATGCCTCTTGCCTAACTTGCATATCTACGTTCTAGTATGATATTTACCATATACAAGACATAACTCGATGCAAAACATGCAACAAACTCATGAGGAAATATAATTGCACTTAAAATCGTGCAACATAAAACGAGTTCATTGTAAGTGCAATAGGTACTAAAGTCGTCACAATTTTCAGCAAACTCATGCAAGCAGTGGCGGATCTTAACCATTGATCTTGGAGGGACTAAATAATATATTATTAATAAATAATAAATAAATATAAATGGAAAAAAGAAGATGAAAGGGTGAAAGGATAAAATTGTAAATATATACTTAAATATATTAAATGACCATTAAGTTTAAGAGGGACAAAATCATAAATTATATGAGAGTTACAAAGCTGATGAGGGGCTAAGAGGATAAAATTATAAATATACAAGTAAATATATTAAATGTTCATTGAGTTTGGAGGGGTCAAAATCATAAATTACATGGAAGTTACAAAATTTGGGGGGGGAGGGGGAGGTCACGGCCCCTCTAAACTACCAAGAAGATCTGTCACTGCATGCAAGCAAACACAATTTGAAGGTAAAGTTGTGCTACAAAAGATAATTTTTATGAAGCTAAATTCGTGTTTAGAAGCGCAATTTCAAGTCAAGCATAACTCATCTCTCCAATAATGATTTCAACGGACTAGGCTTTTGCAAAGCATGTAATGGTCTAATGGTGCTTAAGGATGCAACAAGAGTCATTGCAGATTGATCAGATGGAATATTGGGAGTCTTTAATTTATATCTCATTTATTTACCTATATTGTTTTTTATTCTTTGTTTTTTTATGTCTTTTTTAATTTGTTTATTTTATTTATGTCCATATATTGGTTTTTTTATTGATGTCTTTCTAATTTGTCTATTTTATTTATATCCATACAGTGTTTATTTTTTTCTTTAATTTTATTTTATGTCCCTTTATTTTTATGTGTCTTTAATTTGTCTCATTTATTTACATATACTTTTTTTTTCCTTTAATTTTATTTATGTCTCTTTAATTGTCTATTTTATTTATGTTTTTTTTTATTTTTATTTGTGTTTTTAATTTATGTCTCATTATTTACAAATACTTTTTTTAATTAATTTTATCGATGTCTCTTTTATTTTTATATATATACTCTATTTTTTAATTTTATTTGTCTATATATATATATATATATATATATATATGAACTGCAGAAATGACATCTCATCATTGTAATCTTCTTTTACATATGTTGTTGTTACACCTCTAGGACAAATATGTAACAAACACATTATGAGAAGAGAATGGAAGATTACATCGTCATAAGCGTTATAATATGTGGATAACAAAAATATGCAAACATATTGGATGATTGTGTTAAACACTCGATACAAGAAGCAGGATTTAGTTGAACCGTCCATGTGAATCATCATTTGATAACAACATTAGTTAAAAGGTGGAGAACAAAAATTTACACTTTTTATTTTTCCATTGGAGAAGTCATATTAACTTTAGAAGACGAGGTCTTACAAGTAGGTAATTCTATTGATGGGCAGTTAGTTACAAGTATCATGAGTGGAGATTTGACGGTGTTTTGCAACCATTTAATAGGTTCATTTTCACCCCAAGGTCTTGCTACCGGGAATACAATCACACTTTCTTGGTTAAACACTTCGTTTCAATAACTTCTTGTTAGATAATGTTGTAGCACAATATGCAAGGGCACATATATTGAAAATAATAGGTAGGTATTTTCTACTTATAGTTGTGGATAAACTGTCTTGACATGTTTATATAGAGCGTTGGATGATAGGGTTGATTGAAGATTGTTATTGGTTATGGTTTCACATTGACAAAATGGTATTCTAAATTTAAATTTATTGGAATTTATTTGATATTAGTTTATTTAAATTTATTTTCAAATTACTTGATTTTTAAATTTTGAATAATTTTGTGTATACAATAGATGATCACAACGTGGTCAAAGGTCAAATGTCATCACATATTTTCTACATACATTACATTTGACAATTGATCAATTAAAACCAATGCGAGATAATTTATTTATTACAACTCGTATGTGTTTCTAAAAAAACTTTTAATATATTTTCTTTAAATCATAATTATTCTAATTCCACATGTCTTATATAATAATACAATTTTTGTAGACTTATTATTATTGATTTGGGCTATGACAACTAATAAATGTTGAATTTTATCTTGTTAGTTGTTATGTATTTCCAATTATATGTTTTGCAATGGTTGAATCTCATCCGAGTAAATGAAGTTGTGAGACAAGTTGGTCATCATCAACCAATTCTATAAGATCCCATCAATCTAAACAAACTCCACATAAAAGATATGAGACTTAGAACTAATAGATTTTGATCACAATATCATAAAGTTTAGATTACTATGTGGAACAACCTCGTAATCGCTAAAATCAAGGAAATGAATCCACATGAATGATTACTTGTGAAAATATACCATATATGATATGATATTTTCAACACACTATTAGATATTTCTTCTATTCAACGAGAAGATTCAAATCATTAAGTAAGTATATAATTTATTTTATCTTATATATAATATATTTATATGAAACTAATGTTGCAATATTTCTCTTTAACAATATGATATACACTAGGAAGAACAATATTAACCTGTTAATCAATTTAGCCATGTTCATGTTGACTCATCAACATATTAGTCATTCAAGTGGTTAATATATTAGTGAGTCGAATCATCAACATGTTGATCAAACTAAAAACAACTTTATTCATTTCTTCAATATATTAACCAACTTCCAAATTTACATCAGTTTCAACTTGAAGGTTAGATTTTTCATTCATTTACTTCATTTTCATATGAAATAAATATATTTTCAACAACTTTGATGACACTACCATCAACATATAATCAAACTCTTTTCATGTTTATTATGCCCAGTGCGATCCTATACGGTATGCAAATGAAGATAATAATAATAATAATAATAGTAGTAAAACGAATATTCAACCGCGGTATGCAAATGAAGATACTAATAATAATAATAAAAAAACGAACATTCAACCGTTCAACCGCACTAACACATAATCGTAGACTTACTACTATAACAAATGACTACCAAGGACCAATCATGTAGACATCGTAGGCTTACTACACAATAACAAATGACTAGGACAAATCATGTAGACATAACAAATTAAAATATCACCTTGTATGATACGATCTCACTATTAAGTATATGTAATTTTTATTTCTATTTAATATAAAATTACTAATTTAAATTAATTCATGATCATATGATTCTCTCATTATTTTTATTTTTTGTTTCAAATAATTAACAATAAAATACAATTAACTAAAAATAATTAATTTTAAAATAATATATTTATGTAAATAATTAAATATTTATATTTTTCAAAACAAAAACCTAAAAGTCCTACTCATTGGCACAACTTTAGTTTAAGAAAAAAAAAGTTAAAAAAAAAAATAATGGAAGATTGGATGATTTCTTCATTACCGTCATGTAACAAGTTTTTCATTATAAAATTGTGTCTCAAAACACAATTTTACCCTCATAAAATTTTTCAAATTCGACCCTATCACATACATTTGAATTTTTTTAAGCCAGATACATGAAATAAAAAAAAAAAAAAACCTTTGTTTCAATTCCAACAAAAACCATTAATTAAAAATGTCATCACCCGACAAAATGAAATAGTGTTTTGGTCATAAACTATTTTGAGGTACGAAAGGGCTTTTTCCAATGAAATTATTATTACATAAGATTCTGGCCATCTAAATAAATACATTAATAAAATGACATAACGACACTTGTGAATTTAAGATTTTCTAATAAAAGGAAGATCCGTTCCCATGAGGTGATTGAGTTTTTAAAAATGGACATGACAACAGACTGGAATAATTTCGCAAAAATTAACGAATGTGTTTTGCTAACAATTCTCTAAAATTCTTTTTCCGTTAACTGAAATTTATTAAAAATTATAAAACTTGAAAAATCTCCCTAAATGAAAAGGGGACCACGAAAATCTATAATTGCAACTAATTTAAAAAGTACTGGAAAAACAATAATCTCAATGGAATTTTAAAATGGATATCTTTTAGAAAAGTACGTTAACTATTTAGTAGCTCTACAAATTCTGACGACAATCAAGAAAAGAATAAAGTTATATGGTTCAATTAATAAAACCCTACTATTCTAAAATAGGATATAAAACAAGTTCAACAACGTTGCCAATTATCATAATATGCTTTTCTTTTATTTTAGTCCTATAAATATCGTAGGTAAGACTTCAATAAGTTTTAATGCTGTAAAAAGTTAAGAAAAAAAGTATATCACCCAACACCAATACTCGAATGACTAAAAACAGGAGATCCAATATAGGCGCTCATCCATATCAAAAAGAAAATTCCACACCTCGCGTTATCTTAAACCATCGTTTACCAGAAGCACTAAGGATAAATATTCGAATGAACTGAAACTACTCACTGTAATACAGGGGAAAACTACCACATGAGTACTGTCAAATGCAATATCACTGACCACCATGCTTAGCCTTCTTATGTTGTTGCAGACCAGCTTCGTTAATGAAAGACCTAGACAAAAAAACATAAAATATTCAAGCATAGTCATAATATATAAACTTCATAATACCATCCTTCAAGGTCTACTATTTTTAAAAGTAGAATCGTACTTTTTACAACTTCCGCAAGTTAGTTGTCCAGTAGATTTGGGAGATTGGCCCTTAGTAGCATTATTGGGAGTTTTTCCAACTTTCTTCGTAGGATATGGAGTTGCTACATGTACATTTTTCTTAACATCTACAACAATTTTTATCAGAATATTATCAGTGCATAGTGGAGAGTTATATATGAAGACTGCATTAATCATAAACAATTAATATAAGCATTACAAGTTTAACTTATGCATGGAGAATAAGTGTAAAAAGTTAAACGTATGACTTGTAAATAGAAACAAAGTTCCAATAAAAAGAACCCACAGTCCATATTCTTCTCCAATCAGAGCTTTGCTCACGTATCAATGAATTAAAGAATATATTCAAAGAAATTTTAAATATTTAATCAAGCTGAGTAATTAGAATAGCTGAAACCAATAAGATAACAATTACAACCCAAGTAATATGTACTTGAAATGTACTTGAGCATGTAATAGGAAACCCCCAATTTGCCCAGCCTAATACAAGCTCAATTCAAATGCATTCATCAATAATAACATTAATGTAGGAAAGCATTCGCATAGACATAAACATATAAGAAAAAGAAAAATATGATGGATATCCTCACCGGTCTTTTCAGGAGTAGCAGTTTTAGATTTCTTGGAAGAAACAGGAGTTTTTGATGCAGACTCATTTGGTCTCTTCTTGCCCTGAACCACCTTCAAAAGTAAAGTCAAAATGATCCGATAAAGTTTGCTCACATTATAAGAAAAGACATTAAGTCTTGTGACAAATACAGCAGAAAGAAATGCGATACCTTCTTCACAGGGGTCTCTTCATGTTCTTCATCACTCTCCTCATCACCGTCACTATCTTCATCCATCTACATTTTTGAATGATGGAAAATTACCACAAACCAGCAAGAAAAATGAAGTGATTACTTTCCCATTAAGACAAAAAAACATTTTCTTAAACAAGATTCTTGCATAAGATAAAGGTTCAATGAAGAAGTCTTTTGAAGTATCCAATTTCTTATACTGCACATTTGGATTGCAAAAAAATGCATATTAAAATCCGACGTATAGAAAAAATTAAATAAAACTATGATTTAAAACATATGTGAGTAAAATACCTCATCAGAACTTCCAGATTCATCATCACCACCAATCTCATCATCAGATTCGTCAGAATCAGAATCATCTTCCTCTTCTTTCGTTGGTTCAGTCTTAACTAGTTTTGCTGACGCAGCTGTCACAGAAACAGGTTTAGAGGGCTTGGTAACCTTCGCATCTTCAGCTTTTATTTCAGGTTTCCCTGAAAGAAAAAAACTTTTAGTTACCTGCATAGAAATACACAGCTAAACAATATATTTCACATGTAGAAGAAGAATCTACCATTTTCTTTAGCATTCAACACAGGTTCATCCTCTTCTTCTTCACTATCTGTCCAAAACATCCAATATGACATAAATGATTGAGCAAACAAATTAAATAAAAGAGTAACGATAACAGGTTCAAGAGAAACAGTTGATCCTTACCAGAAAAATCGGACATGTTACCCTCGTCACTAATGTCACAGCAACAAATCAAGCTAAGGAAATATGAAAGATGAAGTAGATATGTGAATGAGGTTTAGTGAAAGTATCCTAATGTCGACGTCATGCACAGACAACCATTACAAGAAAAAATTCAATCAAACCATGAACAACAACAAAAATGGGTCTATTGCAGCAAAATATCATCACAATAATTGGTGTTGCAGAAAATTGCAGGCAAATTAGGTCTATTACAGACACTATTGCAATCACAGTCATAGCAAGTACAAAAACCCTGCTTAAGTTTCAGAAAAAACTGTGATCATTAACCCTTTTTCAGAACCTTCACATAAAAAACATTTAGAATATCAATATACTACTTTATCTGAAAACAGGAAAACCAATATACAGAGATGAATAAACGTGTAATATAGAGGTAAAGGATACGTTAGAACTTTGTATCCACAAAAGAAGACAGTAGCACTTTTAGAACTGTGAGAAAGCTCAGAGTCAGAGTCCAAAACTAAATCCAACGAAAGGTGAGGAATGTCATCCCTTTTAAGGGTTCCTAGCACAATCTTCTTGTCACCAACTTTCAAGTACAGAACTACAGGTTCATTTGCCTTCTCCTTTTTCGACTCTCCAAGGGCAACCTGAGAAATGTGAATATATGCCCCAACTGGATCCATTGGATCAACCTTCACAGTTTGCCCAACCTTAACCTCAACACCTAAATTTCAAATCATCACATAACATTAACATTACATCGCCGTAGCTATTCACCGATTCAGCGAAGCATAAATAAATACTAGCAAATGAAACTTTAATCGAACAGTTTAAACACATATTAACAACCTTCATTTACAAGAAGGATTATAATTAGAGTATGACTGTAACTATAAAATACCGCAATATGATTTCCATGAATCGGATTTAGACTATTGCAAAAATTGAAAGAAAAAAAAAAAAAACAAAGACAAAAACCAGAGAGAACATTACCCCAAAACTCCATTGGTGACTCCATTTGGGAAGAACGCGTGAAGAAGAATGGTGAGAAAAAAGAAAGGCAGAGAGAACAGATAAATGGGTTTCAGGGTTTAAGAAATGTATATATACTGCTCTATGCACCTGATTAGGGTTTTTAAAGTTTCTCCCCGCTCTCCTTTTATTTTTATTTTTTTTTCTCTTTCTACGAAAATAAAACTTGTTTTAGTTTGTGTTTGAATAGTTTGATATATTTTTATTCATTTGATTTTTTATTTCATACAGTGTTTTAGTTTTAGTTTTAGTTTTTTATTTTTATTTTTTATTCATATTAAGCATGCTCTTTATTTAGCACAGTTATAGATTAAAACTAAGAAACCAATAATTAAATTATTATTATTATTATTATTATTATTATTATTATTATTATTATTAAAGGGGTCGTTGTAGGTAGAAAGACATTAAATCAAATATTTTCTTTTATTAAAATATTTTTCACATTTTTTTAATCAATAAAAATACACAATTGCAAGGATTAAATTAAGTATAATGAATAATTTTTTTTATTATAGTGATGATAACAGTGGCATCATATATATGATTTTATTTATATATTAACTATTATTTTTATATAATCATTTATGTTTCTTTATTAAGGCAATTATGGATATTTTAAAATTAAGGTAATTATGTTTATTTAAAATTAATTAATATGAATATACATTTTTATAATTTATAAAAAATTATTATATATTTACTATTATATATGTATAGTATATGAAAAAACAATATTATTATTTATAATAAATCCACAAAAATATTTGTAAGTTTTAATTCTTATAATTGTTTCTATTTCTTTATACATAAAAATACAATATTATAAGAAAAATATTAAAAATATTTTATTGTTTTTAAAAATATATTTTCACCATCCATTTTAATATATTTCATTTAAAAACGGTTTTCAAATTAAAATTATCAAACAATTTTTCAAAAATTTATTTTCAACAACAGTTTTCTAAAATTAATCCCTGAATTTTTATTTTTTTTAACTTTATTCTGTACATTAATTTAAAATAAAAAAAATGCATGTTCTTAAATGTTAGTTTGAAAAACTGGTAATATTTCACTATCTTTTTGCTTTATATCCCTTATCTGTGTGTTATGTTAGCTGTATTCAAAGGGTTTTACATTAATTTATTAATTAGTTTTAATGATTTTAAATTTGGTTTAATCAAGTTTTTGGTTTGTATATAATATTTTCCTTTATAAAATATTATTGAAGATTTAGATTTTTCAGTTGTATAAAATTAAACAAATTTAATCAATTAGTATATTTTCTAACTGTTAATGGAAATTTTAAAATCGAAAATGTTGATATGCTTAATTTTAGAAAAATAAAATATCAAATCAAAAATTACAATTTAATAAAATAAAAAATTATATATCCGGATAACTATAAGAAACGAACATGATTTGTTTTGAATCTTATTATTATTATTGTTATTAAATAAATCAATTAATCAAGAGGAAGTGTTATAGTATGTTTAGCCAAATTTATCTAAAATTTAATTTTTTATAAATTAAAATTAAATTATTTACAAATGTTAAAATTATAGTTTTAGATAAGTTAAATGAGAAAACTTCTATAAGATCTATATGCATAGATAATTAAAAACTGTTAATATTAAAACCTAAGAATTATCTATTGGGCTTGAGTTTTCTTCTGGCAGAGTCTTAGGCCCAGTTATTTTGGACTGGACTTAAACACTGATGCCGCGATCTCTCTTTTATATTATTATTTTTTTATTATCAATTGGATCATAATTTCATCTTACACCCCTATATTTATTACAAAATATAATATTATTCTTATATGTTTCACCAAATTTATAATTTGAAAAATATGTTAGAGTGTTCTATACCAGTGAATTATAAAAAACTTTAATTGGTAAATCCATAATATATTTAAATCTAATATATATATATATTCTATTTTCGTGCAAAAGTTTTGTATTTCCATAAATTCAAAGATTTCGTGTGTTATCATTTTCGTTCAACACCATTTTTAAATATTTAAAAAGAAATAATCATTAATATTATATATATGTCATATGTTCTTATATTAAACATATTAAAATTGTACGTGGTGAAAAAATTGATATATATTAAAAGCAGTTGAAGATTCTTAATTGTTTTGTTGTTAATTTTCTAGGAAAAAAGAAAATGTTTTAGTAAGATTTAAAAAATACACATTCAAAAATTTAATAACTAAATTAAGATAAAAACAAATATAAAGATAGAACAGGATTTAATTTAGTAGGTTTTAATTTAATTATAAAAATTTAAGAAGAAATTATGGAAATGCACGAAGTGTTTTTTTGTTATGTTTATTTATTTATTTATTTGTTGAATTTGGTTTCATGGATGTTGTCTTTTTCATCTTTGAAAAAGGTTAAAGAATACTATAACATACATGCAAAAAGTGTCGATTAAAAATTAAACTACTTACAAACCGTTTAAATTGTTTCTTTACAAGTTTATATTATTTCACGTGATAGGCTACTATGCATATATTTTTAAGTTTATATGTAATTTATTTATTTTTAGAGTAAATTACATGAATACTTTTTGGTTTTCTTATACCCTATTTATAATATACATTTAAGTCTTTTTGGTTCACATATTTCTTAAAAGTCTTTGTTTTTCATAAGATTTAGAATGAGTTTAAAGAGATTAGTAGGGTTCATAAGATTAACGTATATGTAAAATGAGTTTATTTTCAATTAAACATTACTTTAATTACCAATGTAATAATTTTGAGTTCAATTATTAGCTTAATAGACGTATACGTAAGTGGTAGCAGAGAAGGAGAGTTGGACTAAAACTATATAACAAAACTATTGTACATAATAATGAATAATAACATAACCTTAAATCAAATTATTCCTAATTATCTAAATATCAACATCACTGACTTCACAGCGTGCCCAATTTCAACTTGGAATTAAAGAAAAACCCGAATAAGAAAAAAAAAGATTCGTCCAAAAGGCTAATAATATTGAAATGGCCGACATATTCTTTTTACAAGTAACTGGCCATTCACTAAACGTGCATTCTAAATTTTAAACAATTAATAATAAAAATATCTGCAAAATAACAAATACTAGCAACCTCCACTAATTTTTAGAGCGAGAAATCCATGAACCTCAGCCATCCAAACGCACCACCCTTTGTCGTTTTGTCTGCTTCTCTTGAACACGAAGCAAACGGCGTCGTTGAGCCACCCTCGCCCTCACGACCATCACCGAACTTCCTCGGGCACAGAAAGAAGTTCCTAGATCCAATATTCCTCAGCTTCTGCTCCCTGTCCAAACCTGCAAACGAACACAATAACATCAACATTAACAATTTCCCCCTCAACAAAAATTAATTCAATCAATTTTCTTTTTGAGAGAAAGATTACTTTCTAAGGTGAACTGAGAATAATGAAGATCGAAGTGCGAAGGGTCGCTAGACGGTAGAATCGGTCGGCGACCTTCCTTCACGTACTGGCTCACCGCCGCCGCCACTAAATCTCCGACGGCCGATTCCGGCGTCATCACCACCTGAACGGGACCAAGGCTTCCCATGATCGTAACCTTAAGCAACAGCTTCGGCGGTTGCCTCGGCACAACCTCCACCGCAGCCGCCGCGACGCGGTTTCTGTCCAACAGAAGGTCTGGCAACGTCATTGGCCGCCGGATTGAGGCCCCGGACGTGGTGGCGGCCACCGATGAGTGGCTGTGAAAGGAAGAGGATTTTTTTGTTAACCTCCCCCGGCGGTTAGGCTCAGCCTGGCCGTTACGGTGGTTCTTGGAGTTTTGCATGGTGGTTACTAACGGTTAAGAAAAAGAATGTTTACAGGGAGAGATAAAGTTGGAATCTAAGAACGTTTTGTTCGGTTGGCTTGGCTTGGCGGCTCTCTGTTACAATCGGCGGTAACGACAATATCCGTGGCGAGGGAAGCTGAGTTGTGAAAAAGAGCTTCGGCTCTGTGGCTCTGGCTCGCGCCGATTGGAAACTCTCATAACCAGAAGGGTATAACCGTAATTTAAAAGCCACTGGAAGAGCAAAGAATGAAAAAGTGAAATGAGATATGAAGAAGGTAGGGTTACGGTGGCGCCATACACATTTTCTGAGTTGTTCTGGTTTTTCTCTATGTGGGACTTTTTGGTTTCGGAGTTGTAACTTGTAAGTAAAGGTGGGTTAGATTTATAGAGTGCGGGATTCGAACAGGTTCATGGTAGGACACGTGGGTGGACTTGATTGACTGTGGCCAAACGCCGTTGGCCCTTGATCTGAGAGATAGGGAAAGAATCAGAGACCACGGGTGAGGCGGGTTCACGGGAACATCCAAGGCTTGTGTAGAGAGGATCGCGAATTGGTGATGTTCATGATGGGTCTAGTCTAGCGAGTAACCAACAAAATAGCACAGAATCAATAATCATCGTCTTGAGACAATTGGAATTTTTCATTTTTTTATTTTTATTTTTATAAAATTTAAAAATTAACAAACAGAAAATCCAGTCATTAAAGACGCTCAAAAATATATAGATAAATTTTAATTTTGATTGATTTCACTGTTTTTGTAAAATCAACATATATTAGTTTTGAATTAAATTTATTTCTATTCGTGTTTTATTTTTTTTAAAACTGGGCAATTTTTATTTTATTTTATTTTTTAAACTTAATCCGGATCCAGATGATTAACTCAACCTCAATTATTAGGCAGCGGAAAACACATGGATAAATAACTCTGTATTTAAATCGTTTTTACGCACTGTGTTAACAATAAATGGTTACAAAGAATAAATGTTTCTTCAAAATTTTGGCCAATAATGAATACCAACCATTTGCATGATTCCCGTTCACAAACTCAAAATGATACTCCTTTCACTAATACAAGTTTCCATTTATGTGGAAATTTTAACATAAATTTTCATAAAGAAAAATATGCTTAAATGTTTCGAATGAGAACTCTAACACGAAACAACTTTCTTTGGAAACTGTAGTTAAACAAATATATTGAATACTAGTCAACATAGCTTAAATCATTTTATTATTATCATACATTTTTCTTGTTTTTTATATAATAAAAAAGTCATAATTCTATTTATAATTTTTTAATTAAAAAATTGATAATATAAAATAAATTGAGATATTGTTTTCATATTTAATTATACTATATTTTGTTGGTTTTAAATAGCTGTAAACTTAAAATAATTGTTAAAAGAAAAAAGAGAAAATTGTTTGTTTTTAAAATTAACTTATTAAACAAGTACATAAACAAGATTAAAAAAATGGAAATAATTTTAAATTATAGTATCACTATTTACATGAAATGAAATTCTTATTATTAGTTAGCACGTTGCAAATTGTAATATGGGAGTGGACTATCTTGGTAGGTAAAACATAGGTAAAACATGGATCTGAATAAAATTTACTTTTATATATCAAATTTGTCTGTTTAGATTAATCAAGAATATGATTTTAATACATATTAAATATTTGAATACATTTAATTTAAATTAAAATATATATATATATATATATATATATATATAAATTGAGTAATATATATTATAATAATATTATTATAATTAATTATCATCGATTTTATTTTTAAAAGAAATATAGATGATTTGATAAATGATAATATATATAAATTATTATTGATATAACTTATTAATATTTTTATGATAATTTAAAAAATAATTTTTAATATAATTATTTTATTTTAAATTCACTCACGAGAATTAAATCTATTATATTATATTAATGAAATGCAGACGTTTTTAATGTCTCTATGTTTATATTTTTTAGAATTATTTTTAAAAAATTTATTTAAATTTTTCTTGTATTTAAAATATATATATATATATATATACTATTTTTATTAATTTTAAATATATAAATTCTAATAAATTTTAAAAAATTATTTTTATTTATTTTTTATAACACTGAAAAATTACTAGAAAAGAATAAATTGATGAGAAAGATTTAAGTTAGTAGGTGACACGTGACATTTTGGTGAATGCTGGCTTATGGCCCTCACATATCTATCTGTCTAAACACAAATACAAAGGTTTGTTGGAACAAATTAAATTAAGACCATCTTAGTCAAAATTAAATTAAATTGTGGGGCTATATATATGACCACAAAATTTTAAATTATTAATAATAAATAATAATTTATTTTTTAATTGTATTATTTTAGAAAAATCTATGTTAATAAAATGAATTTATAATTGTTTTATTAGACATCTATGTAAAATTATTATAATTTCATCGTTTGTAATTCATTCAAAATTTAATTTATAGTTTTTTATTATAAATCATTAAAGTTCTATTTAATCTTTAAATTTTTTTATATCTGAACATCATTTACAAACATTAAAACAATGATTAAGTATGTTTTTAGTCCCTGTTTTTTATGTGAAATTAGAAATAGTCTCTCTATCAAAGTTTATATAAAATTTATCCCTGTACTTTTGAAATAATTGGAATAGATCCTTATTTTAAATGATGTTAAATATATGATGATTTGTCTAACAGAGATAATATAACACATTCATTATTTGACACGTGTGATTATTTAAAAAAAACAAAGTTTTTCTTAAAAAAAATTGAAATTATTCGACAGATATTATTATTAAAAAAAAACAAAATTAAAAAGTATAAGTTTTTCTTTTCTCCTTACGCAAAGACAACTTTTCAATTCTCATCACACAGTCACTTTTCATTCTTTCTTCTTTTCTCATCATCACAACTACTTTTCGTTATCTTCTTTTCTCGTCACATACTAAAGGTCTTTTTTTTCTTCCCCTTTCTCAGTAAAGGTTGTATGAAATCAAAGTGACTTTGAAGTTCGAGGGTTCCATTGGTTCGTTGTGATTTGACTGATAGTACGACAGTGGTATACCATAGTTAGGGTTTTCTTTTCTGAAAATTAAGATAGAGAAGTTTAAATGACTTATAAATGGTAGAGAAGTTTAAATTTTTTTTTAAATGACTTTTACATGTTATAAATGCAGATTTAACTGACTTTTAAAAGCTTGACACCTTTTAATTTTATTTTTTTAAATAATTACATGTGTCAAATAATGAATTAGTCATATCATTTTTGTTAAACAGTCAAGCATATACTTAACGTATTTTAAAATAGAGACTTATTTCAATCATTTCAAAAATATAAGGATCATTTTTATGTAAATTATGACCGAGAGACTATTTTCAATTTCACATGAAAATATTGAGACTAAAAACATACTTAACCCTTAAAACAACTAATATAATTTATAATAAATAAAATATTATATTATATTACATATAATTACTTACTTTTTTTACTTAACAAACATATAATAGAGTTTTTTATTTTATATTTTTTATTTTAATTTCTTGTTGTAATGGGAAAGTGAAAAACTGAAAGAAAAAAAAATTAGAAAAAATACTGAAAAAAATTAACATCTCAACATTTATAATAATGTAAAAAATATTTTACATATATTACATTAAAATTATATTATTAGGTCATTTAAATGTATTTATAACAAAGCAAGTATTTATAATATATATATATATATATATATATATATATATATTAATTTATCATAAACAATATTTATTACAATTATTTATTATTGTTAAAATAAAACTATATTAATTAAAATAATAATAATTATTATTATTCTAATAATTAATAATTAAATAATAATTATTAATATATATATGTGAAATTAATAATAATTATTATTATAATATATTATGAAATTATTATTATTAATTATTATTTTTATATATTATTACAATTAAAATATATAGATATAATATGAATTAATAATAATAATAATTATATATTATATATTATATATATATATATATATATATATATATATATATATATATATATATATAAAGATAACATTGTTTATCTCTTCGTAAAAGTAGAAATAAGTCGTAATAAGTCATAATTGATTAAAGACTACAAAAACTAATAATTTAATAAAAGAGATAAAAAATATTAATGAGATAAAAAAAAAACAAAAATATTACTATATACATATACAAGGATAGGGTGCAGTGAAAACAAAAAAAAGAAAGAAAAGAGAGTAGGAGAGAAGAAAAAGAGAGGGGAGAGATGGAGATCCGAAAAAAGAAAGACACTTTGGAGACAAAATTTGGTGTATTATTAAGATAATGGAGGAGATTATTATCATTTTATTTATTTTATTTTAATTATAATTGTGGAGTGAGGAGTTTTTAACATTATTTTATTTACTGTGTTACTTTTTTTTTTAATTATATACTAATATGTCTTATATTTATTTATTTATTTTTAGTCATGCATTGGTCTTATTTTAATTATCTTTAATTATTTATTGGTTTTGTCTTATGTTTATTTATCTTCGATCCTACACTGATCTTATTTTTATTATCTTTAGTTACCTATTAGTCCTACCTTTGTTTATTTATTTATCATTAGTCATGCACTGGTCTTATTTTAATTATCTTCAGTTACGTACTGGTTTTGTATTATGTTTGTTTATTATCTCCAATCTCGTACTCGGTTTTATTTTAATTATCTCGAATTACGTATCGGTCCTCGCTTTATGTTTATTTATTTCTACCTGGTCATATTTCAATTATTTCTAGTACTTGTTTATTAATTCATATTTATATTCTTTAATTGTTTTAAAATAATAATATCTATTTATGAATATTTGATGATATTGTAGATAGATGTTGAACCTTAGGGATTGAAATGAGTAAATATCACTATGAACATGGTTAAAACTGGGTTCATTTATCATGACTAGTTACTAAAAATTTAATTCAAATCTTCATAACATAAAATATGTTGAGAAAGTTTAAAATTATATTTTATATATATCATTATAAGATTGTATTATTTTAAATAATAATTATTTTTCATTTCATATTGTGATCTTTTGTGCATGTTATATTTAAATATTAACTTAAATAGATGGAGACGTCAAATATCTCAAATCTCCTTTTAGCAAGCGTCATTATCTTCTTTTTATGAATTACTTGAAACAAAAACATCATTGAGAATTTGATTACATTTAAAAGGACAAGTATTAATATTTGTATCTAATATGAGAACTTCTAGAAAGACCAATAGTACTCACCTTCTGCATGTCTCCTACCATTTACAAAGATTTCTTAATCAGTTTGTTTTCACGAACAATGAAAATATTTGTATAATTATAATAAGAATAGAAGAAACAAAAAATAAATAAAATTTCTTCTAAAATATATTTATTTTACCTGTTACTTGTAATGCCACACTTTTTAATACAATTATTTTAATTTTAAATTGACTCAAGAAAATTAATTCTATTATATTATACTAATGAAATGCAGACGTTTTTAACGTCTCTATGTTTATATTTTTTTAAATTTTATTTTACTTCTTCTTGTATTTTTAAATATATATATATATATATATATATATATTCTTTTTATTAATTTTAAATATATAAATTTTTAAAAATTAATTTGTTTTATTTTTTATAACTCTGAAAAATGGTTAGAAAAAAATTAAGTTGATGAGAAAGGTTTAAGTTAGTAGGTGACACGTGACATTTTGTTGAATGCTGGCTCATGGCACTCACATATGTATCTATCTAACACATATACAAAATATTGTTAGGTTTGTTGGAACAAATTAAATTAAGACCATCTTTGGGTGAGTTAAAATTAAATTAAATTGTGGGGTTATATGTTCACAAAATTTTAAATTATTAATAATAAATAATAATTTATTTTTTAATTGTATTATTTTAGAAAAATATATGTGAATAAAATGAATTTATAGTTTTTTTATTAG